TTTAAGGAAGTATTTTCTTCAGTAATCTTTTGGACTTCCTTTTCCATTTGGCCAATTTTGCTTTTTAGGGCATTCTTCTCCTCATTGGCTTTTTGGACCTCTTTTGCCATTTGGGTTAGGCTATTTTTTAAGGTGTTATTTTCTTCAGTATTTTTTTGGGTCTCCTTTAGCAAGCTGTTGACTTGTTTTTCATGATTTTCTTGCATCACTCTCAGTTTTTCCTCTACTTCCCTTACTTGCTCTTTTTGAGCTCTTCCAAGGCCTGGGACTGATTCATATTTTTCTTGGAGGCTTTGGATGTAGGAGCTTTGACTTTGTTGTCTCTTCTGGTTGTATATTTTGATCTTCTTTTTCACCAAAGTAAGATTCTATGTCTGACTCTTTTTGCTGCTTGCTCATGATCCCAGCCAATTACTTGAGTTTTAAACTCTTTGTTAAAGTAAGAGTCTGCTTCCAGTGTGGAGAATGTATTCCCAAGCTTCAGGGGTTTGTATAGCTGTTTTCAGAGATACTTGTAGGGACCTGTAAATTTTCAGTTCTTCCAAGGTGGTATGATAAGGGGCAAGGTGTTTACTCCTTTCCTGGCCTGTGGCCATAAGTATTCCTTTCTGTCCTGTAACTGTGAGGAAGGGTTCCTCTCCACAGCCACTCCAAGCTCTACCACGCCAGCGTTCCTTGTCACCCCAGCACTGCCGCCAGAGCTGTGACTCAGATCCAAACAGGGGCAAAGCAAGAGATTCCTGCCTCAGCACTGGCAAAGAGATCCCTGCAGTCCCTCTCTGATCAGCCACTGGATTCCCCCTCAGTCTGTGGGTCGGAAGCTTGGGAAGCAGCTGCCTCCCCCCAGGGCCATGCTCTTGGGGAATAGAGCTGAAACCCCACCTTCCTGTCTCAGCACCACAGAAACAGATTTTCCCACTGACCTTCTAAGTTGTCTTTGGCATTGGTGGATTGAGGAGTCTGGAAACCTCCACAGCTGCTAGAGATTCAGTCCTCTGAGGCCTGCTCCAGGTTTGCTGCAGCCTGCATGCCCATGCCGCACTGCGCTGTGCTCCCAGCCCGGGCGATACACCTTTCTGATCAATCATCCAGGTTGTCTTGGGCTGGAAATTTGTTTCATTCTGTCTTTTTGTGGGTGCTGCTGCTTCAGAATTTGTTTAGAGCCATTTTTTAATGAGTATTTGGAGGGGTTTGGAGGAGAGCTCAAGCAAGTCACTGCTTTCACTTGCCATCTTGGCTCCGCCCCCTCTGGAAGGACTCAGTCTTGAAATGTTTAACCAATAAACATGATATGCAGTCTTCTTTTGCCCTGAAAGCAAATGTGATGATTTCCCTCAAGTTTTACTTTTTTTTTTTTACAATTTTCTAATTTACTTTAAATAGCATATTACATATTAGGATCACAGAACTTGGCCAGAAATTACCTTAGAGATTATTTAGTTCAAAACACTCATAGGTAAAGAAAATGAGGGAGAGAAGAGAGAGTTTCACTAGGGTCATAAAAAGAATAAACAGCAGAGCCAGGATTCAAAACCAAGCCTTTGGACCCCAAATCTAAATGTTTGGGTTTTATCAGTCCCACAAGACTAGAAACTCAGAAAGGGCAAGGACCTTCTCTTATCTAAACTTTGCATCTCCCTGAGCACCTAGCACAATGCTCTGCACACAGTATACATTTGTTCATTTATTTGCAGTATATATTAAGTGTTGAGAAGTTTTCAGAAGACAATTGCTACTTAGTATTTCATGCCTTTGTTAACAGCTTAAACACCTAGTGCTTTCAAAAAATACTTCCATTGTGAATCTCCAGACATTACTGGACAATGCATTTCTCTGTGATGAAGTAGAAAGAGGACTTGGTTCAGGGTCAGAGGATTTAGGTCAAAATCCTGATTCTGCTACTTGTTCCTTGTGTGGCTTTGGATAAGTTACTTCATCTCTCTGGGCCTCCATTTCTTTATCTATAAAAGAGTGAGCTGGACCAGATGACTGAGCTTTAAATGCTTTAATCCTATTATGAGAGAATTAGCTGAGCATTCTTTCTGTATAATTATCATTAATAATAACATGTAATAGCACTCTAAGGTCACAAAGCAATCGATATTTTTTTAAATCGTGGTTAAGGTTACAATGGACCTTCAACACAACACAAAAACAGTCTTTGCTCTCAGGGAACACAATAGGTAGTATTAAATACTTTCCCCTGTATTAAGGTTGAGTTAACTGAGCCGCTGAAAGGTTGTAACTTGCCCCAGGTCATAAGGCCATTAAGTAAAAGTGCTGAGATTTGAACCTGTTTTTTACCTCCTAGTCGATTGTTCTTTTCATGACATCATGCTTCCTGAAACATCACACACACACACACACACACACACACACACACACACACACACGTTTGGAGGGGTGGGGAGTCCAAAATGAATTCTTTAATGCAAGGACCTCTCAGTGTAGAACTTCTGTATGCCACAGATTAGCTACTCATATGTTTATACATACATGAGTATATGTGACTGTAGATGCATATATATGTATATATATATATATATGTATATATATACGTGTATATATGTATGTATATATATGTGTGTGTGTGTATATATATATATATATATATACACACACACACACACACACACACACACACACACACAAATATTCCCATAAAATACATGTGAATGAGAAAGGCACTGTAACAAGGTAAAGGCACTGTAACAAGGTAAGGACTGGCTTGGGATTCAGGAAAACCTGAGCTTAAACCCTACCTCCACAATGCTTCTCTGTGTTTGGGCAACTTTCTAATCACACATGTCAATTACAAAGTGTTTCTGATTTGCATTAGTGGAGGGAATTTTGACACCAGATATTGATTGTCTCCATAGTTGAACTAGTTTATCATGTGTCTGGACCAAAATAAAGAAGTAATGCATATAATATGTACTAAATATGTATATTAGATGCATACATATGCATACTATATATACAAATATACATGCATACATATATAATTTTGTATACATTATATGTATGTATGTATGTTTATACACACACACCCTCAACAGTTATTGAATTTTCCCAGCCTTAAATATATATAAGGCAGGAAGGAATCTGCCATTCTAGCCTTGCTTTTTAATTCCCTGAGTCATCCTAAGATAAAGCCTTCCCCATTTGGTGTCTTTGTTTTTTGAATGGAAAAAATAAGCAGAAGAGTATAGTAATTGTCTCACGAAAACTGAGGTCATCGGGTGGGGTGAAAAGGGGAATTGGTAAGTAGAGGTGGGGCTGTGGAAAAATTTTCAGGAAGGTGGAGTCTTTCAGACTCTCCCCACTCTTGAATTTATTCATGAAGTTGCTTTTAGCAGAAGTTGTTTGGATCCTTTTAACTGAGTGCAAATTCATCACATATTGAGGCCAATTCCGCATCTGCAGAAGTTATTTCCTTAGCACAGATAAATCACTTTTGTTAGTGAGTGAATTATTTGGGGCCTGTTAGTAAATGTCTGTTGCACCTGAGTGGAATGAGCTGAACTGGCAGTCTGGCTGATTGACATAATTTGGCAAAAGATGACCATACATAGGAAAATCGATTCCACACTTTCTGCCTCTGTGATCTTGGGTTCTGTGATCTCTTACATGCTTCGATAGTTTGGAGATCTGTGATTTTCATCCATAAGGGAAATCCTTTCATCTATTCAGATCTTTACACTTCCATACCTAGGAACATAGGTTTTAAAGTTGCTAAGCAGAATCAGCTTATTATAGCTTACCCCCTTCTTTATATTCTGCTGTCTAGCCAAACTGATATTGTTGGTATTCATCACATGAAACATTCCATCTCTCATCTCCTTTCCTTTTTCGTAACATCTCTACACACACCCTTCCCCCACTTTGTCCCATGCTGCCAACAGCACTCCTTTCTTGCCTCTGTCCTGAATCCTTAGCTCTCTCTAAAGGCTTTGCCGATACCTCTAGCTACTGTTGTCTCACCACCTCCTGCCTATCCCTGCCTCATCAACCTGCGACAAACTGATCTTTTATTTATTTTGTTTATATTTTAATAGATTTATACCTGTACATGCCGTCTCCCTGATAGGATATAGATCCTTTGATGCTAGAGACTTTCATTTTTTTAACTTTGCATCCCCAGACCTAGCACAGTGCTTGGCCCACAGTAGATGCTTAATAAATGCTTGTTGATTGACTGACTGTAGCCAGTTTCTCTTCAACTTGCTAGTTGGCCCTTGGATAATGTATATGCACAGTCTGTCTTTGGGCTTGTGCCTGAAGACCTTCTAACTTGGCAGGACTTGCTAGAACTTGTAGCCTTTAAGACCTCAGGATCATCATCATCTTTCATCATGATGAGTCATCAAAAGAAGACTTTACTGGAGGATGATATGGAAGAGGTCCTAAAAGGTTCCAGCCAAATACTATTGTTTATTCAAATGGAAACTTTTTAAAGACCCATGCTCATTTCCAGGAGGCAGAGGGTAGAGACCTTTTCACTGAACTAAATCAATCTTGCTGAAGTTCTGCCTTTTCATTAGGGGAATTGGTTCTGTGTCTTTAGTGACAACACATTTTGTGCCCCACAGAGTGTTTGGTGTTTTCAAACTGATTGATAGTGAAAAATCAACAAGGTACTTTGCCCATTTTCTGTGATTCAGGACATATGGATTGCCCTTCAGAAACAGCTGAAGTATCTTATGTTCTGTTCCAGCATCAGCCAAATTTGAAAGATTTCTTTCCATTGTTTCCTATCTCCGTCTCTCTTCTTGTTTCTACACAAAATGTACTCAGAAACAACAGGGATGATGCAATTTCAGGGCCGAGTGGGACTCGTCAGTTGGCCTAATGGTTTGGCCACCAACTGTAGCACTTTAGCAAGAAGGGCCATTAGTTGGAGATTTAGGCTTCCCTTAGTCTGGGGATGGGGAATGACTGAAATACAGATCCACACAAAGATAAGTTTGGAATCCACTAATTTAATATTCTCATTACAGGATGAAGCGCATTCAGAAGTACACGGATCAGATACTTAAAACTTAACCACTCCTATTATCACCTTTTTTTTTTTTCACTTGAAACTCTGGAAATCAGACTGTTGTGAACACTGAAGGCTGAATCCCCTTGTTGATGGAAATGCCACAAAATCCAAGGGGAGAAAACACCTTTATTTCAACCCAGTCGTTTGTTTTTTCCAGCATACCCACTCCAGCTGAGAATGGATTTGACATCGACTCTCCGGGCACCAAAGAGCTATGTCGCACACCCTTGAGCAATGGCACTGTACTTTCAAATGCTAACAGTCCTTTAGACTCCTGCATGCAGCCCCTCTGCAATGCCACATCTGGCAAATCCAGCCCCTGTAGTGAAGAAGTCAAATATGTGTCTTCAGAGGGAGAAAACATTGCCTGTGGCTGGGGGGCTTTCACCCCTGATTGTTTACAGTTTTTCAATACACCCAAAGGAATACTCTTCTTCCTCTGCATGGCCTCCTTTCTTCAGGGGATGACGGTGAACGGCTTCATCAACACAGTCATCACCTCCATAGAGCGTCGCTATGACCTCCACAGTTACCAGAGCGGTCTTATTGCCAGCTCCTATGACATAGCAGCTTGTGTCTGTCTGACCTTTGTCAGCTACTTTGGAGGCACTGGACACAAACCCAGGTGGCTTGGGTGGGGGGTGTTGGTAATGGGGGTTGGCTCCTTTGTCTTTGCTTTGCCTCAGTTTACCACCGGTAATTATGAAGTGAACTTCTCACAAGAGTTTGGAACATGTGGCTCAAATCAAAATATATCCTGTGCAGGAAGTACCTCAAGCCTCTCCAACTACAGGTTTGTCTTCATGCTCGGGCAATTCCTTCATGGGATTGGTGCAACACCACTGTACACTCTGGGAGTGACCTATCTCGATGAAAATGTCAAGTCAAACTACTCTCCAGTCTATATTGGTAAGTGTAATAGCCTATCAATGAAAATTTTTCTTTCGGTTATTAAATACACATGGTAGTTCCACTGGCTTTCTTAGAATGGAAAATGAACTACCACCAAATGGGATGCTATGAAAATGTGTATGTGTGTGTGTGTGTGTGTGTGTGTGTGTATGCAACTAGCAAAATGTTGTGCTTTGCAGAGACAAGGCCTGCTAATAAGTCATCATTCTGAAAGTAAGGGAACTTACCAATGAGAGAGGGAAAAAAAGGCAAGTGACATATCAGGTTTTAAAAAAAATAAGCTGTGTGTGCACACACATAGGGGGATGGGTAAGTGTGAAACTCTAAAAAAAGAATTCGTTATCTAAGTTTCCTATATAATAGAAAAAAATGTAGTCAGCTTGAAACAGAGTTGTGTCCTTTTTAAGGTTTGCATGTGAATAGGAAATCTACATTGCAAAGTGCAGAGGTTCTTAACCTTTTTGTATGAGGGACCCTTGGCACAGGCTAGTGAAAACTTCAGACCCCTTCTCAGAATAATGTTTTTAAATAATTAAAGGAAATGCCCGATATTGGTTAGAGGCTAGTGAAGATAAAGATGTAATTATTTTTGTATCCAAGTTCATGGCTCCACTGAAATCTATACATGGACTCCTTGAAGGTCCATGGACCTCAGGTTAAGAACCACTGGCTAGTATGTGGCAGAGAAAGGACTTGAACCCAGACTGAGAGACCATGGGTAATTATGCATTTGGTGCCTGAGGCAACTCTCTAAGATCATACATTGAAGATGATGTATTGAGCTAAATTGGCATAGAGAGTTTTTACATTGGGACTTCCCAGAACATTTATTTCCAGACCTGTGATTTAATTGGTGCAGGGAATTTCCAGTGTGATAATCTCTCTACCCAAGCAAATCAGAATTATATGTATCTGAACCTGACTTGTGGGTTCATGGGTGTAAGGAACTTTCCCATCAAGGAAACTCCCTCTACCAATGTAGGTTAGTTTTAGGAAGTTATCTGCAACACTGAGAAATTAAGTGATTTGCTAAGGTCACACAACCTATATGTGTATATCAAAGGAAGGACTTGAACCCAGGTTGTCCTGACTTTGAGTCTGGCTCTCTATCCATTATGCCACACTTGCCTCTTATCTATATATGATTCTATATGTGTGTGTAACATACATAAGAGACAGCATGACATGCATATGCATAGACACATGTATACATATACATGAGTAGGCTAGCATAAGCTTGTATTGGTTCTGGAGAGGCAATTATTAAATTTTCAATGTAAGTATTAATTTATGTCTCAGAAATTGGCAAAAACCTTTAAATCAGTGTTTGATTATTTTGTTGATTGTCTAGACTTAAGAAAGTAATGCACAAAATGGTAATAATGGAAATTAAAATTTTAAAATGTGGCATACATATTTTTTACAGAGTTCCAATTTAATATTTATCAGCATGTGTGTGTGTGTGTGTGTGTGTGTGTGTGTGTGTGTAAATGAGAGATTTTTCTTCATTTTCATTCATAGGTGAGATTGTAGAAGCTACTTTTATAAGTAAAACAGCAAAGGTTTTTCTGAATTGGCACATGAGGAAATGCACAAAGCATGCCCATGAAATGTCATCTATACAATTCTCTCTCTTGCCCTTCTAGATCCCCATAAACATGTAATTTGAAGAGAGCACATCATGGTCACTACAACTAAACATAGTACAAAGCCATCACTGTTAATGAAATAACACAGAGCACATGTTCCAAGTAACTTTGTAATTTCATCTTTATATAGAAAGCAGAGCATATAATATTGTTAATGTTGAAAGAATTTTGAAATTTCTACTTGTTTCTAATGAGTAAACTGGGATGTTATTATTGGGATTTTGAATTTTTCAAACACAGCTGAATCCAGCTTCAGATGAATTGAGTCATTGATATGCCAGACACAGAAGAATTCCAATCTAGCATTTCTGTTAAATTCCTAGTTACAATGCTCAACTGAGTAACTTAGATAAATTTATTTCAGGGGTGAGTCAGTAGAGAATTCATAATTCCATTCAGAAAAAGTTGCAAGGTTAATTCATGAGACCAGAGACAAGTGTTAACCCTGAGCTTTGGCCCTCCCATCATTGACCAAAAGGACCTCAATTGGTTTGTTGTGATTTAATGGCCCCACTTGTTTGGGGGGTATGTCTGTCTTTCCATCATCTGGGAGTTAATGCTTAAGGCTTTTTCACCATTATGCCTCCATGAAACTATTCCTGGACCTATATAGATGAGGAAAATATTGAGATACACATGACACAGGTTTGCATTCAGAGGATCATAGATCTAGAGATGGAAGAGACCTAAGGGGTCATCTAATCCAACTGCCCTTACTTTTGAGTTGAAGAAACTGAAGCCCAGAGAAATTAATTAATTAAATTACTCAGGGTCACACAAGGAATATAGGGTAGAACAAAGATTTGAACTTACATCGTCGAATTCCAAATCCCAAACCACACTATGCAACTCTTTCCCAGAAAATGCTTACTAAGACAACATCTTCATGGGGAGGATATCCCAGCTAAAGTTCAAGTGTGATCTCTTTGTATTATGGCTGCTACCAAGAAAATATCTTTGGAAAATATAACCACACATAAAGAGCTTTCCTAAAGCCTCAGAGATGATCTGGGCTAACCTGTATCCAAATCAGAATCCCATCTACTTCATACCCAACAAGTTGTCATCCAGCCTTTGTCAAAGACTTTCAGTGAATGGGAGTCTACTAACTCTTTTTTTTTAATATAAATTTATTTATTTTCAGTTTTCAATATTTACTTCCAGATTTTGAGTTCCAAATTTTCACCCCATCTCACCCCTCCCCCCACCTCAAGATGGCATGCATTCTGAATATCCCTTCCCCTAGTCTGTCCCCTCTTCTATCTCTTCCCCCCTTCTCTTATCCCCTTCTAGTTTCCTGTAGGTCAGGACAGACCTCTGTACCCCATTTCCTGTATTTCTTATTTCCCAGTAGCATGTGAAAACATTTTTTTTAAACGTATGTTTTTAAAACTTTAGGTTTCAAATCTTCTCCCTTCCTCCCTCCCCACCCACCCTCATTGAAAAGGCAAGCAACTCAATATAGGTTATACATGTGCAGTTATGCAAAACATTTCCATAGTAGACATGTTGTGAAAAACTAACTCTATTTCCTTTAATCCTATCCTGCCCTCCTATTTGTTCTATTCTTTCTTTTGACTGTGTCCCTCCCAGAAGTATTTGCTTCTGATTACTCCCTTTCCCAACCTGCCCTCCTTTCTATCATCCCCCTGCTCTCTTGTCCCCTTCTCCCTCTATTTTCCTGTAGGGTAAGACAGATTTCCTTACCCAATTGAATGTGTATGTTATTCCCTCCATAAGCCAAATCCTATGAGAATAAGGTTCACTTATTCCCTCTCACCTTCCCCCATTTCCCCTCCACTGTAAGAGCATTTTCTTTTCTGTTTTTTTTGAGATAATTTACCCCATTCTATCTCTCCCTTTCTTTTTCTCTGAGTATAATCCTCTCTCATCCCTTAATTTTATTCTCCAGATGACACCTTAATTTTCAATTCACCTTGTACCCTTTATCTATCTATCTATCTATCTATCTATCTATCTGTCTATCTACCTATACATACATATAATTTTTTTCCTCCAACTACCCTAATACTGACAAAGGTCTCATGAGTTATAAATATCATCTTTCCATGCAGGAATGTAAACAGTTCAACCTTAATAAGTCTCTTATAATTTCTCTTTCTTGTTTACCTCTTCATGTTCCACTTGAGTCTTGTATTTGAAAGTCAAATTTTCTATTCAGCTCTGGTCTTTTCATCAAGAATGCTTGAAAGTCCTCTATTTCACTGAATGACCATTTTTTCCCCTGAAGGATTATACTCAGTTTTGCTGGGTAGGTGATTCTTGGTTGTAATCCTATCTCCTTTGCCCTCCGGAATATTATATTCCATGCCCTGCAGTCCTTTAATGTAGAAGCTGCTAAATCTTGTGATATCCTGATTGTGTTTCCATAGTACTTGAACTGTTTCCTTCTGGAAGCTTGTAATATTTTCTCCTTGACCTGAAAAACTCTGGAATTTGGCTACAATATTCCTAGGAGTTTTCCTTTGGGGATATCTTTCAGTAGGTGATTGGTGGATTCTTTCAATTTCTATTTTGACCTCTGGTTCTACTATATCAGGGCAGTATTCCTTGATAATTTTTTTTTTAGGCAATTGGGGTTAAGTGACTTGCCCAGGGTCACACAGCTAGTAAGTGTCAAGTGTTTGGTTTGAGGCTAGATTTGAACTCAGGTACTCCTGACTTCAGGGCCAGTGCTCTATCCACTGCGCCACCTAGCTGCCACCTCCTTGATAATTTCTTGAAAGATGATGTGTAGGCTCTTTTTTTGATCATGGCTTGCAGATAGTCCAATAATTTTTAAATTCTCTCTCCTGGATCTATTTTCCAGGTCAGTTGTTTTTCCAATGAGATGTTTCACATTGCCTTCTATTTTTTCATTCTTTTAGATTTGTTTTACAGTGTCTTGATTTCTCATAAAGTCACTAGCTTCCAATTGCTCTATTCTAATTTTTAAAGAAGTATTTTCTTCAGTAATCTTTTGGACTTTCTTTTCCATTTGGCCAATTTTGCTTTTTAGGGCATTCTTCTCCTCATTGGCTTTTTGGACCTCTTTTGCCATTTGGGTTAGGCTATTTTTTAAGGTGTTATTTTCTTCAGTATTTTTTTTGGTCTCCTTTAGCAAGCTGTTGACTTGTTTTTCATGATTTTCTTCCATCCCTCTCATTTCTCTTTCCAGTTTTTCCTCTACTTCCCTTACTTGCTTCTCAAAATCCCTTTTGAGCTCTTCTAAGGCCTGGGACCGATGCATATTTTTCTTGGAAGCTTCTGATGTAGGAGCTCTGACTTTGTTGTCTTCTGGTTGTATATTTTGATCTTCTTTGCCACCAAAGTACAATAATATAGTCTGACTCTTTTTGTGCTGCTTGCTTATAATCCCGGCCAATTACTTAGTTTTAAACTCTTTGTTAAGGTAAGAGTCTGCTTCCAATGTGGAGAATGTACTGTCCCAAGCTTCGGGGGTTTGTACAGCTGTTTTCAGAGATACTTGTAGGGACCCGTAAATTTTCAGTTCTTGCAAGGTGGTATGATAAGGGGTGAGGTGTTTATTCCTTTCCTGGCCTATGTGTGGTCTATTAGTGACCACAAGCACTCCTTTCTGTCCTGGAACTGTGAGGAGGGTTTCCTGTCCACAGCCACTACAAACTCCACTATACCAGTGCTCCTCCTCACCCCAGGACCCGCATCCAGAACTGTGACCTAGATCTAAGCACAGGCAAAGCAAGAGATTCCTGCCTCAGCACCAGCAGAGAGATCCCTGCAATCCCTCTCTGATCAGCCACTGGATTCCCCCTCAGTCTGTGGGCCGGAAGCTCGGGAAGCAGCTGCCCACCCCAGGGCCGAGTTCTTGGGGAACTGGAACTGAGACCCCACCTTCCTCTCTCAGATCCGCAGAAACAGACTTTTCCCACTGACCTTCTAAGTTGTTTTTGGCATTTGTGGATTGAGGAGTCTGGAAACCTCCACAGCTGCCAGAGATTCAGTCCTCTGAGGCCTGCTCCAGGTTTGCTGCAGCCTGCATGCCCATGCCGCACTGCGCTGTGCTCCCAGCCCGGGGTGCTATGACTTTCTGATCAATCATCCAGGTTGTCCTGGGCTGGAAATTTGTTTCACTCTGTCTTTTTGTGGGTTCTGCTGCCTTAGAATTTGTTTAGAGCCATTTTTATAGGTATTTGGAGGGGTTTGGGGGAGAGCTCAAGCAAGTTGCTGCTTTCATTCCACCATCTTGCCTCTGCCCCGGGTCCCCCCCTCCCCCGGAGTCTATTGTCTCTTGAGATACCTTTTGCCATACATAAAGTGAAGGAAGGGAGAGAGAAAAGAAAAGAAGGAAATAAGGAAATAGTTGTGCTAGGTACTTTACAAATACTGTCTCCTTTGATCATCACAATAATCCAGGGAAGTGCTATTATTATACCCGTTTTGTAGATAAGGAAACTAAGGCAAGCAGAAGTTAGGTGACTTATCCATAGTCACATAGCTAATAAGTATCTAAGGCCAGATTTGAACTCAGGTCTTCCTGACTCCAGGCCCGGTGCACTATCCACTGAGCCAACTAGCTGCCTCAAGTGGATGATCTGAGATCCCTTCCACATCTAAAAATCTCTGATCCTGACCAGCAAAGCCAAGGCTTGAACCCTGGTCTCCTGACTCCCCATTCAATGCTCTTTCTACTACATCATGTGTGTCAGCTCCTCCACCATCCCTCCCCTCCCAAAGCCATCCTAGTCCCTAAGTAAGAAAGAGACTGTACCTCAGACATGTCAGAAATGTAGCATCTAGAGCCTTAGTGGCAAACAATTTCTAGAGTTATATTGTGGCAACAAAGCAGGGTTATCTAGTGCAATCTGGGTAACCCCCTTAAGGAAAATATGCAAGCCCCCAATTTAACTGATCTGGTTTGTTTGTTTGTTAACAGCAATTTTCTATACAGCTGCAATTCTTGGTCCTGCAGCAGGTTACCTGATCGGAGGCGCACTGCTGAACATTTACACTGAAATTGGCAGGCCGTAAGTAGACAGAAATTGGTTTGTTCTGTTTGGGCTCAAAGATGCATTTGATTCTTAATTATGTGAAAGAAACCTTTTGGGAGGATTATACCTGTTGTTTCTTTGGTGTAAAGAACTCAGAGTGGGGAAACTCCTCTGCCAATGTAAATTAGCATCCTCTTTGTAACTTATAATCTTAGCAATTAGTTGGGAACACTTCCAAGGTTAGGTGGCTTGCCCTGGGTTACACAGACAATATATGTCAGGGGGAGGATTTGAACCCAGGTGCTCCTGATTCTGAGGCCAAATTTTTATCCATGATGCCATGGCTGATTCTAATGGAAAAAAACCATGATGGTTTTTTCTATGTGGCACCAGATTTATTTGCATATCCTTTGCTGAAGGCGGTTTCCAACCCTAATTATAGTTTTATAGGAGAGTATCTGTAGTAACTCTGACCACACACCCCATAGGAACCTTGGAATCATAGGATCACACAGCTAGAAGAGGCCTCAGAAGTCATCTGGTCCTGTTCCTACTTGAGTCCCAAGGCTGCTCTAGATCCAGAGATGAAGGGATATATCTTGCACATGAAAAAGACCCCTCCAGTCCTCTTCATATAGCCCCCTTACACTAAGGGAGGAAGCAAAGTACAGTGGAAAGAATTAAGATTTGAGTTTTAATCCCTGCCCTGCCACTTAATATCCGTGTAACCTTGGGCAAAATTAATCATAGTAATTATTAGTATTCGTAATATTCATTCTCCTAACTGCTATTAACTACCCTTTCCTTTATATAAATGCTTAATATTATTATTAATATTTTATTATCATTACTTATCTTTTAAATTTAATAAACATATTGATAATGTAATTAATAATAACATAAAATAGCAAGCCTTTATATAGTACTTGCAAATTTGCAGATATATATAAGTATATGTATGTATATATGTGTGTGTGTGTTCATTCTCATATTGTCCTCACAACAACCTGTGTGGTAGGTCCTATTATGATCTCTATTTTGCAAATGAAGAAAATGAGTCTGAGAGAAGTAAATTGACTTGCTCAGGCTCACACAGTTTTGAGTGTCTGAAGCAGGATTTGAACTTGGGTCTTACTGACCCCAAGTCCAGCACTCTATCCCCTGTGCCCTGGAGCTGGCTTGATAAAATCAGGGGGTTGGTCCTTTTCAGTTTTAGATCTATGATTCTCTGTGTGAATAAGAATGGGCTCTCATCATACCATATACACACTTACTAGGGCAGTGCTGAGAGGGGGCAGTCTTAAGGTGGTTTGGATTCCGTAAGCACTTAATGCAGGAAGATCAGTGGATCATATCAGTCATGTCCTGCAGTGCTCCACAAAGCAGCCAGAAGGGTCTAGAGAAAGTATCTGCAGATCTCAGGGACCTCAGATCTCAGGGACCTCAGAGACTATGTAGTCTAGCCTGTGGTGTTCTGGTAAATGGTTAATAATTGACTCTCCAAAAAAGTAAACCTGTAACACATTTGAAAGTTTCATCTACATACATTATTACCATTTTCTCTATCACCTTCTTAAGTGGAGACAATTAACTGATTTCTGAGGTGTAAATGCTCACACTAAAAACTGAACAATGAGTTCCAAGAGCCAGCCTCAACTTAACTTCAGCATACTCCCAAGTCAAATCCATACCTGAACTAGAATCTTCCTTGTAACATAGCTGATATATGGCCATCTAGTCATTACATAACCTCCAGTGAGGAAGAGAACTCATTCTCCTTTTGATCAGCTCCAATGGTTAGGAAGATTCCTTATACTACTAGGTCTTTTTGCAACTTCTACTCATTGCTCCTGCTTCTGTCCTGTGGGGCCAACCTGGACAGATTTATACCTTCTGTCATGTGACACTCTTTTAATAATTGAGGACAACTCTCCAATCTACTCTTCTCCAAGGCTAAACATCTCCATTTCTTTCAGAAGATCCTCATCTGACACAATCTTAATTATCTTTCATGATCCTGGTTGCCCTATGTAGGATAATTTCTAATTTATCAATATTCTTCCTAAAAGCTGACAGCTAGAACTGAACACACTCTCCTGATGTGGTCTGACTAGGGTAGAATAGGGTAGGACTGTTGTTGTTCAGTTGTTTCTGTCATGTCTGACTCTCAGTGAGCCCATTTAGGGTTTTGTTGATTCTGGAGTGGTTCGCCATTTCCAATGACCTCCCTAGTCCTAGTATCTTTCCACTTGCAGTCCAAAACTGACCACATCTTTTCCCACAAACCTCCTTCCAAATATGCCTATTTCTGTCAATGGTACCACCCAGTCTCCCAGATTCATAACTTCAGCATTAAATCTTGATTCCTCACTCTCTTTCATCTTGCACATCCAATCAGTTGACAAAGTTATTGGTTCTAACTCCACATCTCACATATCTGATCCTTTCTTTCTACACACGCAGCCACCACCTTGTTTCAAGCTCTCATCTCCTCTTGCCTAGACTCGCAATGACTTCCTAATTGGTCTCCTTGCTTTCAAGTCTCTCCCCACTCCAATCCAGCCTTTACACAGCTGCCAAAATGGATCTTTTCTTTCTTTCTTTTTTTTTTTTAGGCAATTGGGGTTAAGTGACTTGCCCAGGGTCACACAGCTAGTAAGTGTCGAGTGTTTGGTCTGAGGCCAGATTTGAATTCAAGTCCTCCTGACTTCAGGGCCAGTGATCTATCCACTGCACCACCTAGCTGCCCCTGAAACTGATTTTTTTCTTAAGCTCAGATCTAACCATGTCAATCTTCTACTGAATAAACTCTCTTGGTTCCCTCCTGGCCTTAAGATAAAGTGTAAACTTCAGTCTGGCTTTTAAAACCCTCCCCAAATTTTCACCCACCAATCTTTCCTGTCTTCTTATACATCACACCCCTTCTCACACTATGATTCAGCCAAACTGAACCCATGTTTTTCCACACCCTCAGCATTCCATCTCCTTCCTGTGTCCCTTTGTATTGGCATGGAATGTACACCATCCTGATCTCCACTTCATAGAATCTCTCACTTCCTTAAAGGTGAAGCTCAAGTACCACCTTCTACAGGAAACCTGTCCTGATCCCCCCAACTGCTGATAACTTCTCTCCCCAGAACTACTTTGCAGTTTAAATACTTTCTATTTATTTTGTATTTTGTATTTATTCTGTCTACCCTTATTCTCAACATAATGTAAGCTTCCTGAGATCAGGGATGATTTCTCTCTCTCTCTCTTTTTTTTGGTCTTTTTGTCACTTCCTATCCCAAGATCTTGCACAGTGCCTGGTACACAGTAGACACTTAATAAATGATTACTGATTTTCACACAGCCAAAGATCTTATTAGCAGGCAGGTGGTACAATGGAAGTGCTGAACCTGGAATCAAGTAGATCCAGGTTCATATCTTGCCTTGCCTTTCTAGTTTTGTGACCTTGGCCAAATCAATTGACTTTTGTCTGTCTCATTTTTCTCATCAGCAAAATGGAAATTATTATAGCACCTATTTCCCAGAGTTGGTGTGAAGAATGAGGTAGTATTTGCAAATGCTAGCTATTATTTTGGCTAACAAAAATGAAACTGTAGACTCACATTAAGCTTACAGTACACTAATACTTCTACATTTTTTTTCAAACTACTGTCTAGTCATACCTTCCCTGAATTTTTTAAAGCTTTCTTTTTTTTTAATGGTATTTTATTTTTTCCAATTACAGGTAAAAATAATTTTCATCATTTTTTTTTAATTTTTGAGTTCCAAATTTTTCTTCCCCTCGCCAAATGGTAAGCAATTTGATACAGGTTATATATGTGCAATCATATAAAGCATATTTCCATATTAGTCATGTTGTGAACGAAGAAACAGAACAAAAGAAAAAAACACAAAAAATAAAGGGAAAATAGTATGCTTCAATCTGCATTCAGACTCCATCAGTTCTTTCTCTGCATGTGGATAGTATTTTCCATCATGAATCTTTTGGAACTGTGTTGGATCATGGCATTACTGAGAAGAGCTAAGTCACTCATAGTTGATCATCACACAATACTGCTCTTTTATTGTGCACAATGTTCTCCTGGTTCTGCTCACTTCATTTTGCATCAGTTCATATAAATCTTTCTAGGTTTTTCTGAAATCATCCTGTTCATCATTTCTTATAGCACAATAGTATTCCATTTCGTATACCACAACTTGTTCAGCCATTCCTCAATTGATGGTAAAAACTTTCTTTAATTGCAAACAAAGCACATGTTGCTTTCTAAGGAGTTCTAGTTTCATAACTCATGTTCTTCTTTGTAGTAACAAAACAGGTAATGGCTAAGATTCACACTTGCTTTCCAATGCTCACAGGGAAGAAAAACTTGTGGTGGGACATTATGAATAGGAGCCAGAGGGTTAAATGCTCTCCCGATAGTGGTACTGGATCACAATCTAAGAGTTCTTTGGAAAGAGAGATTCTGCTGATAAAACCATTTTTAGTAGGCAATTGACATTCCAATTTTTTACTTGAAATTCAAATTCCATTTTCTTTTACATTCTTCTCTTGTTGACTAGCTGGATTGTTTTTATCTATCTGGGGAGGTGAGTGGGAGGGAAGGGCAGGATTATGGAAATCCCAACCAGAAAAAAAAGGACACATGAGAGGCAACATGGCGGGGCAATTGAGCATCAGCTTTGGGATCAGAAAGACCTGGATTCAAATCCTACCTTTGACACCTACTAGCTATGTGACCATGGGCAAATCACTTAACTTCTCAGTTCCTCAAGACACTGCAATTAGGTATCAGCATCAGTCAGTCAACAAGAATCAGCTGAGTTTCCACAGCAGGAGTTCTTCATACCCAAAAAATGAGGTGTGGGGGGGGACTTTTTTGTAAAGATTGAAATTTTCCTTAGATTTTGTTGTTGCTTGTTATTTGCAATTACTAAATTCCATTCAGTGAGCTACCAACATTTTTGCTCATTATATTTACTGGTCTTCCTTTTCTAAGCTGTCTAGTTGGATTTATTTTATATTTATGAGCCTCATTTCTGGAATTTCCACACCTTGAAATCTTCCCACAGATGGACTTCCTTGTCCTTGGTCTTTCTAAAGCTTTACAGCTGTTACAAATTCCAATATCTTGCTACATATTGAAGAATAGGTGTATCAAATGTTGCTATTATTGTAGGCACCAAAAATGTATGGTGGATGCCTCACAAAACCCTTGCTGCAACTGGAACTTCATTTCTCCTTTACATTTTTCACCTTCTTCTGGAAACTAAAATAGAAGGCATTAAAGTGGTGTTCTTGGCCTAGAAAGGTTGTAGATGTCCTTAAAAGTTCTGCGAAAGCCAAGCCCTCATCCTGCCCACATCAGACTATTTCTTTTTTTCCCAAAAGTTTTCTAGTCTGCTCCATCGCCCCAAATCTCTTTTAGAGGATTCCAGCCGACTGAGTGTGTGTGAGTAGCCTGGGATATTTGAGGAGGTCATAGCAAATGATTCCTCAAGTCCTTTCAAGCTCTAAAGATCTGGCTCCCTGTGCCATAAGTCATTCTTCTCATTTTCCTCTTCTATAACAGATCTGGAGCTCTCCTGCTATCTTATCTGGTGACTTAGAATGGAAAGCCAACCTTGGGGTTCTTGCCAGGTCAGAACCTAGAAACAGAGGCAATGTAGTATAGTATATACAATATTGGATTCAGAGTCAGGAAGACCTGAGTTCAAATCTGGTCTCAGACACTTACTAGCTCTGTGATCCTGGGCAACACGTAACCCTGTTTGCCTCAGTTTCCACATCTGTAAAATGAGCTGGAGAAATAAATGACAAACCACACCAACAACTCTGGCAAGAAAACCTAAATAGGGTCATGAAGAATTGGACATGACTGAAATGACTAAACAACAACAACGATGACAATAAATCTGGGCCAAATCATTTGCTTTGGGCTTCAGTTTCTTCATCTGTAAAATAAAGGAGTTAGATGAGATGACCTCTAAAGTCTCTCCCAACTCTAATATTATGAGTAGTTTCCACAGTGGGACTGAATTGACAATTAGACTAAAATTTCCCCAAATTATTTTCCTCTTATTCATATTTTCAATTAGGAAAAAAATATATATTTTTGCATGTAAGTTATAACCAAACTCATAAAGATCCTTTTGCTGCAAGCTTCCAGCTGGTTCTAGTTGAACCTCTCTGCTCCCGCTTAGAAAATTTTATGAGGCCCCAGATATGCAATCTGTTCATCTCATTTGAACTGTTTTAGTTTTAATGGCTGGGGGATAGAATATGCTGCACTTGTTCCTCCATGGAACGCCTGCTGCTTCTAGACCTCAAAATAGGAAGCCTGGTATCTGCAGGCCCCATTATGATTACTTTGGAGAGAGATCAGCTTACTGTAGTTCCTCACACTAATCCTTAGAACTAGGCACATTAGCTGGAAAGCATGGTGCCCAAATCCATCATTAGAATTGCTTGAGAGACCACATGGTACGGTGGAAAAGAGTGAAGGCCTTGGAACCCTGAGTTTGAAACCCAGCTCTTAAATCCCTTAATAGCTATCTGACCTTGGGCAAAGCTTGGACTAGTCCATGCCTTGGCACTGCACATACCTCCCTCTTTTCCAGATCCCCTTTATGTGAAGTCTTCTTCCCATTAGAATATAAACTTCTTGAGGGCAGGGACTATCTTGCTTGTTGTATTGGTATTCCCTCCACTTAGCTTCAGGCCTAAAACATAGTAAACATTTAATTGGTGCTTTATCTCTCTATTTACCTACCTACCTACCTATCTATCTCTCTACTTACCTACATACCCACCTACCTACATCTATCCAGTCAATCTTCCCTCTGTCTCCATTTCCTCATGTGCAAAATGGGGATGATGTTACTTACACAACCTACCTCAGAGAGTTGTGAAAAGGGCTTCACAAACTGTACTGTAACAAAGAGGCAGTGGGGTTCCCCCAAAACAGTATTGACCTTGGGGTCAGCAGGCCGGGGTTCATATCCCACCTCCAGCACTTTTCTACTAATGTTACCTTAGAGAAGTCATTTAACCTCTCTGGGCTTCAGTTTCCTTATTGGTAAAATGACAGGATTGGACTAGATGGCTTCTATGGTACTTCCCAGTGTTAGTGTATGATCCACAGGCATCACGGGAATGGGAGCAGCTCTTATTTATTGCATCAGAATAAAGAGCATATTTATCAGTGCCATATACTGACCTAAAATAATCAGATCCCATTAGGAAAGTTCTGTCTGGATTTACGATAAACAATGATTTGAGACATCACTTTCTTTTTTCCCCTACCTCAGGACTGAACTAACTACAGAAAACCCTTTGTGGGTTGGGGCCTGGTGGATTGGGTTCCTGGGGGCTGGTGCATCTGCCTTCCTCATTTCCATCCCCATCCTTGGCTACCCTCGTCAGTTGCCAGGTAGGCACTTCCTTTTCCCAGTCTTTCTCCTGTAATAAGGCATCCTGGGGCAGGAAGGAGAATCCTGTGCAGGGACAGGCAGCCCATACCTTCCATCTCACCTTCCCCTTTGCCTTTGGAACAATTGGTCTCCAAAAGCCTTTTAAGCCTCATTTCCAACATGATTGTTCTGGATTAGTCAAGTGTGTGAAGGCAACTGAGCCGAGCCACCAGAGTTAAATACTTTGGACAGTTACTAATTGTGCATGGGGTGGGGGGTGGGGTTCAGGGGGAGCCTAAACTTTTGTTGCTTGTGGCTAGCCTCTGTTCCACGTTAGCAAACCTCAGGTCTCTGTTCTTTCCCTTTATGGCATACTGATTTATGAGTACATTTGAATAAGAAAGAGGATACAGTTGTGACCATGGAATTAGTGTCTGGTTAAATCATTTTGCTTTTCTCCATGCCCTCATCTCTAAGCTGCCCATCTGTCCTCCATCTCCTATTCTCATTCATCAGACAGGCCCCCTGGTGGCTGTTGGACGTATGTGGGAATAATTTCTTCCTCCCCCATATACCCTCCTCCAAAAAATTCCACATTTTCTGGCATTTTTGCCCCTCAAATAAATTGCTCAAAGCTCTGCTGTCTCTGCAGAGTCTGAGTGGGCCCTCAAAGATGATGAACTGGGGGAAAGCTAGAATTTGCAAAAATCCCATCCAAATTTGATTTCCACAGTTCTGTCTCCCTTGTCTCACAATGAGATGTGTGAAAATTCCAAATCAACAAATATTGGCAGGGTCTTGTGCCTTCAAGTTACCCAGTCCTAGCCATCCTATAACCACTGGCCCCATCTAGTGGGTAGAGGGGATAAGGGTGTCAGGTGGGATTTTAAATGGAGGTGTTAGAAATGCAGCTTGCCTGACTGAGCATTGTGGGTATTCTCAATAAGCTGAGTTACAGGATACTTTCCCATTCTTACCATTTGCCTTTAAATTTCTCTTTCATCTTCTTCCAGGATCTCAGCGGTATGTGGTAATGAGGGTGTCTGAAACACATCAGTTAAAGGATGGGAGCCATAAGACGGCATCTGATCCAGACTTTGGGAAAACAGTCAAAGACCTGCCTCTGTAAGGACCTGTCTCATCAGCCTTCTGAAAACCTTGCTGCTGGTGGCACTGTTATTTGTAATGAACCTCTCTTAAACTGTGCCTTTTTTTATCCTGACTACCCTCACTCCTCAGGGACTGAAGTTTTCATTATGTTTCCCATAATTCCGTTCCTGCAGAAGAGCTTATTTTTACCTCGTTAGAGATACATTAGAGACAGGTTAAATGATTTTTTTAAAAAAGTTATATAATGAACAAATGATTTATTTCTAAACCCTTTCTTAAAGCCCAGATATCACAGAAGTATCTTTTTCTCCTGATTTTCAGGTTAAGAGGTAGAAGAACAACATATACGTATCTTTAGGGCTAGACTCTTTTTAAAATCGCTGCCTTAACAAATGCACTTAGCCCTTAAAGAAAGGTCTGTGGTCCTCACTGGGCAGCTTACCTTTGTTACAATCAGTCTGGGCGCCAGCTGCTAGTTAAATGCATCTTGCCGTGCTCAGCAGCCTTAATGTTATCACTGTCAATAATTTTCCCACGTGCTTGGCATCTGGCAGCCCCCCACCCCACCAAACAGTGGTCCTTTATCTTCACAAATCAGATCTCACTCACGTAAATGGAATCATGGGAAATTAGTTACCAAATTAGCTTCCTCTAAATCAGAAGCAGAGAATGCCAGCAGGATTTGCCAGCACCAAAATGATGCAATTTGACCCTTAAAGAAAATTTCTGAGGATTATGAGTTTCAAGTGATTCCAGCAAGCTGAATTCTACGCTGGCCATGTCCCATGCACAGCAGGGTGGTGTCAGGCTCATACCATTATCTCATGGGGCATTTAGAGGATTAGAACAAGAAAACATCATCTACCTCCCATTTCTTTCTCATTTGCCTCCCCATATGTTGTACATGAAGTGCACTTCTTGGTTTTTTGCTTGTTTGTTTCCAAATATTCATTTCTCTTTGTTTCATGTCATAGTGATTTCATCTCCCCCTCCCCCCAACTTTTGGTTTGATTTGACTCTGTGCCAGTTTCCTTCAGAGTTACTTAATGTATTGTCTCTGGTCACTCCCACAATGACAATTTAGTTCAGAATGGGATTTCCAGTGGACTACAGATGGTGCCCTGACCTCCTTTTAGACACTTAGGAGGTAGAATTCGGTTTCGAAGAATCTGGCAGCTCTGAGAAGCATTTTTTTTTCCTGAATCCATTAGTAAATCAAATTGGACACATTAGGACTGGGTAAGACACTGTTCACTGTGGGAATTGATTACAGCCACTGCAGGAGGGCTTAAGGATGTTGTTAGGGCGACTGCCCTGTTTTCACTATTGGACAAGGAAGAGAAGAATAAGTGACAGGTACAGAGTGATGTATTTCTGCAAAGGCACTCATTGTCTTCCTATGCCCTTTCTTCTCAGTTCTGCTTGTGACTGAGACAAAAGGCAGAAGAAAAGTAGGAAAAAATCCAATGAGCCATATAAGAGCTTATATTTGATAGCATTTTTTTTAAAAAAAGTTTTTTTGCCAATCTCATGTTTTTGTTTTTACTTTTGCAGATAACTTCAGAATATTAACACTATTTGTCATTCTAAGGAGTAGTCATATTAGTAGCACTGTTCTGTTAAGCACCATAAAACAAAGCTTGACTTGGCCTCTGCCTCAAGATAAGATTTAACAGGACTCACGGAAGGTTCTACATTTGAATTTAAAAATTATAAACTATAAAAGCATAGGGCATAGGACACATAAGGCAGCTAGCTGATGTACTGGGATTGGAGTCAGGAAGACTCATCTTCATGAGTTTAAATCTGGCCTCAGACACTTACTAGCTGTGTAACCCTGGGAAAGTCACTTAACCCTGTTTGCTTCAGTTTCCTCATTTGTAAAATGAGCTGGAGAAGAAAATGGCAAATCACTCCAGTATCTTTGCCTAGAAAACCCCAAATGGGGTCATGAAGAGTTAGACATGACAGAAAAACGACTGAACAACAAAACACAAGTATAACATAGAGAAAGGCAAGCATGACTAAACATTCACAGGGGCGGGTGGGAGTGGGGGGCAGTGGGGCAGCAGCACAGGAATCTAGAGGTTTTGGTGATCTGCAAGCTAAATATGAACCAAAAGTGGGATGTAGTAGCCAAAAAGCTAAAGCTATCATAGATTGCATTAATAGATACAAGATTTCCACAATGAGGGAAGTAATCATCCCTTTTGTATACTTGGCCCTATAGGACAGCAATAGAAGAGCCTCATTCAGTTCCTTGGGGCCACACTGCAGGAAGGATATCGCCAAGCTGAAGAGTATCCAAAAGCAGGTGGGGGATGGTGGCGGAGAAAGACCCACATGCTAGGAAAATCCTACCATCTAAAGAGTCACAGAGGGAACTGGGGGTGTTTAGCTGTCCAAAAGTCAAATACAGAGACTGGTCGACTACTTGTAGGGTATTTGATAGGGAGAATTTCCGTTCTGTTATGGGGTGGATGAACTAGAAATCCATTAAAGTCCCTGTTAACTCCGGGATTCTGTGAAGTTTGACAAACTTTCATCCAAGATCAGTGGCCCTGATAAATCTTAATGTCAGCTTGTCCTTTCTCTGGGTCAGGGAAGAATAGAGTTTCTTGTTATTACCCGGTCCCCGAATGTTAAAGCCAGGTTTGAGTTATCTGAGGTTGTGTTATTCAGCCCTCTCATTTTAGAGAGAAAGAAACTGAGACTTGACTGGAGAAGATGTTCTGTCTAGATCACTGTCTTCTGGCTCCAAGTCCATCATTCTTTGCACTACGATTAAGGGCAAAATATGAAACTAACTCTCAGCATGTTTAAACACCCGGGAAATAATAGGGATAAATGTAAAGAGAAGGAGCTGGCCTTGGAGCCAGGAAGATCTGGGCTCAGGACATACCTTGGACACATACTGGCTGTGTGACCCTGGGCAAGTGACTTAAGTTCTCAGTGCCTCAGACAACTCTCCAAGACTCTTAAGTGACAGAGAAGACATTGATCTGCTTTCATGAAGGGTTTTTTGTTTTTGTTTTTGTCTCTGGGTAACTCTCTACATTAATGAAATTATTTATTGGTTTTCCTTCCACACGTATGCTCCAAAAAATGAAACCACAGAATTTAATCAGGTCTTCCTATTTAGTTGGTCTTGAGCTAAATTATTTGCTTCATCAACGGTTAAATGTATGAGTATTTCACTGAACCAGCTGCTGTCAATAAGATAAATTCCAGAAGAAAAATGCCACTTCTCAGGATCATAACTCATCCTCTAGGGAAATTAAATCTGACAATTATAGTTGAGAAAATGCAGATAATAATAAAAGCCAAGGAAACTTTCAATGCCACCTCAAACATTCTCCTTTTCTCTTGCTGTTTGTTTGTGAGTCCTCCCTAGGATGTCCTATTGTTCCTTCCTTGAGGGATTAGGTAACTCTATGTAGAAGGAAGAATAGTTTTCCAAACCCACTGCCTGAGCTCCTGTGGCCCAACTGTGCCCATTTTATTCAAAGAGCTTACTGTTATGAGATGACTATGACCTTGAGAGCGTATTAGCTGAGCCTTGTTATTAGGCTGGAATAGGAAGTAGAAGTTACTGTTTTGACCAGAGCACAAGCTGTTAACCTACTGAGGGATACAGAACCATAACTAATAATTTTGACTGCCTGGGGAGGGCTCAACAAAACATGCCTGGCACAAGCATTTCAAATAAACCCTTAAATCACCAGTTTAAAAACTTCTTCAATTAGGGAAAGTAAGAGAGGAGGGACCTTGGACCTTGAAACATGAAGGGGAAACCTGTAAACTACCTCATTGGGGAGGGAGGAGAGGAAAAAGATGGAGATCTTGGCACACCAAGAGGATGCTGGGAAAGGAAGCATGCATGCCATCTGATATCTTTCTATTCTAACTTTTACTGCTAACTAGCTGCTCAGTTGTTTTCCCATGCTGAAGAAGTACAAGTACTATCTGCACCCTTTATATTTTTATGCCCTTGGGCAAAGCTCTGATCACCTTTCCTTAGTAAAGGCTCCAAATGAAATTTTTATTAGCTACTGGTTCCTTTTTTCACTTAAAGTCTTGCTCTGATGCTTTCTTGTGGTGCTGAGGTAAGCTTTGAAGGTTGTGCTACCCGAACACAGATTCTACCAAGGTCTTACCAAGTTGGAGAGGCTTTGAAATCAGACCTAGTGAATGACTGGGATGATTTTTTTCTGCCACAGCGACTTACTTTCTTTTTAAGTGCCTCTTACTTTTCTTTCATTTAAATTTATTTATTTATTTTTAGTTTTCAACATTCATTTTTATAAGATTTTTAGTTCTAAATTTTCCCTCCTCCCCAAGGCAACATAGAGTCTGATATAGGCTATACATGTATAATCATATTAAACACACAACAACTTTCAAAGACCATCTCTCTACTAAGATTATAGAGGAATTGTAACCTGTAACAGAGGAAGGAATACCCATACTCACAAAATACAGATCATTTAAGTCATTTCCTCATATTGATGGAGGATATTTCCCCACCCCCTGCCCCCATTGAGGGAAAGATCAAGTGGTTAACTAGAATGGAAACATCCTAGATTTCAAAAATAAACTTCTGAAAAACTAGGTTAGCTCATTTTAATGTGTACAGGGAGCAGCAAAAAAGATCTTATGTTGTTTCCAGCAGCTAAAAGCATTGGCCTAGAATACAGGGCACCTTGATTCTGGTTTTAGTCCTGCTATAGAAGAGCTATGTGACCTTGGACAAGTCCTTTCCCCTTCTCTTGGTCTTAGTTTGTTCCTCTATAAAAAAAAAAAAGGAAAAGATAGAAATAGACAAGCTCAAAACATCTTCCTTGCTCTGGAAGTCTGTGATGCTTACTAGCTTGAAGAGCTAGTTTAGATCACAAAGTGAGAAGATGTTATTTCACTAATACCACCTCTAGAGGGCTAGGTTCTTAGGACTCTTATTTCAGTGGTAAATGATGAGTACTTTTACAAATAATGCTCTAGGAGGATAATTGAGTAGG